AAACTCGGTGCAATGTCGTGTGCGCTTCAGCGGCTTCTATGCTTATGCTCCACCGTATTAGTTCGCTCTGGCGCACGAAATAATCTTCTAATTCTCTCCGCCCTAATTTTCAGATCCTTTATCATTTTCCTTCCAAACAACATTTGCGTTTAGAAGATTGAGGAAGACAGACTGCTGTCGAGGTAAGTTTGTCTTGAGTCCGAGTCCTAATCTTTGGTCTCGCGCTTCCACCTTTCCCCCGGCTTGACCTCTGCCAACACTCTGGCCTCGCTTTTTCCATCTTTTCTCATACAGCAACCAACTGACAAGTCGTTCCAGATCTTCGGCCAGATGCAGATCTTCGTGAAGAGTTGGCTTCTTTCCTGTCCTTTTCGTGTTATCAACTGTACTTACGAGTGCTATAGCATTGACGGGGAAGACTATCACCCTCGAGGTGGAGTCTTCCGACACCATCGACAATGTAAAGTCCAAGATCCAAGGTATGTCGCCGAAGAATCGATCTAAATCGCCCTCGCACATTGGCTCACGGCGCCTCCATCAGACAAGGAAGGCATTCCTCCGGACCAGCAGCGCCTGATCTTCGCTGGCAAGCAACTTGAAGACGGTCGCACCCTCTCCGACTACAATATCCAGAAGGAATCCACTCTCCACCTGGTCTTGCGCCTTCGCGGTGGCGCCAAGAAGCGCAAGAAGAAGGTCTACACCACCCCCAAGAAGATCAAGCACAAGCGCAAGAAGACGAAGTTGGCCGTGCTCAAGTACTACAAGGTTGACGGTGATGGAAAGATTGAGCGATTGAGGCGCGAGTGTCCTACCAAGGAGTGCGGCGCCGGTGTGTTCATGGCTGCTATGCATAACCGCCAATACTGCGGACGCTGCCATTTGACCTATGTCTTTGACGAATCCAAATAGAGCTGAGAGCATGTATGCAATGCAGCTACAAGACACGAGATGAAGTCAGCACAGATCTCAAGGGTGTGGATCAGACCAGATAGCAGACACGAGCCCAACGGCTACCGACAATCAAACCACAATTAAGTATTCGGTACGGTGTGACTCTTCTACCATCGAACATTACTCGTTGTTCCATCTATATTTTCCCCTCGTCCTATTGTGTGGTGGGTCGACTTTCGGTGCCCGCTTTTCGTCCTGAGGCGGTTTATAGCGGCAACAAGTCCTGGCCTATTATTTTACCCATAGAATCCTGCCGCTCCACTGATGTTATCGATAGCCCTCTTACATACCCAGTACTGTGTGGCCCGCTTGTTTACTTACCATTCTTAGGCCATTAAGCACACCCGCGAATGTCACACCACGATCTTGACTCTTCAACCCTCGACCCTCAATTGACATTTCGAAATCAATCATGGATCTGGAAACGACGGCGCATCCAGAACCTATCCTAGATCATCACCACCGCAAAGTCGAACTCCAATCCCCCCACGACCTGACATACCTTCAATCCAACCTGATCGCGTGCGCGCGCCAAAAGCTCGATCTACACTTTCCCCTCTTAACCGCGGCGCAGGAGAAATCTCAGCCTGCCACGGTCATACCATTGGACGGCGTCCAACTGAATGGAAGCTCCCAATCTCGTAACACAAAGGCCCAGGATGGGAACGAGGTGGAGGATCCGCTCCGCGTCCGCGTCCGCGAGGTCGTCGAGGCCTTCATCGCGCGAACCTGGGAAGGCGCGTGTAAGAACATCACTGTCAACGGCCTGGATGCGACGAGCCTCCCCGTCGCGTTGACGACCGCAAACGCCGCAAATTCCACGGGTGACCAGCAGGGAGAAGAAAAAGAGGACAAGGAAGGGGTGGACTTTGTCTACGAGCCGTACGATAGCCAGTTACAAGCAAAAGTCGCTGCGCTTTACGGAGAGCTGGAGACATTGACAGCGCAAGTGAGTAAACTGAGGAGGATAGCTCCAGCTCAAGGAGCGGAGATGTTCGCGAAGAGGTTGATGGAAGAGATGGAGACGGATAATGTTGAATTCGAGAGGCGCGTCACAGCAGCGACGACGAGAGTTGCGGAGGCCAGAGAGGACGTTCTGCAGCTGAAACCCCAGAGAGACGGATGGTATGACGATGTTCATGCTATGTATGACCGCGGGACGACCGAACTTGCCATGCTGGCCGGCGTTAACAGAGCCGAGGGCGACGCTGATCACGAGGTCCATGGTGCAAGCTTGACCGAGACGTTAGGCAAGATCCAACGTGCGAGGACCGTGGCCATGGAGTTTGAGTGAGCAAAAGAGGATGAAAGAGAGCCCTGGGATTCCGTGTGGTCATCAGATTGCCATGGGCTCGATTCTGGCTCGGGGACCTGGTCTACTTCGACATCGATGCCCTCTAGGTGAGTGGCCAGCGGCCCGCTAGGGCAGAATTCGGGAGCAACTCGACTTCCGACAATCTGATGGCTGCTCTACAGAGAGACGAATGACACTTGGCCCCCTTGCAGCTCCTCGTCGATAGCAGAGATGAGGAACCCCTCCAGTGCACATCGATCCAGAAGGTATCGAACACGAAGAGAAGTGGATTGCCCATCAAATATAGAACCGCAACCCAACTGCACCATCTGCATTCACGATACCCTGGCTAATCAGGACGTACCCATTTGGGCAGCGTCACTATTCCATCTGGAATCAATAAACAGGAAGTCATTCGAAACGAGAAGAGGAGAAGTGACGGAAAGAGGACCAGACGACCATATATCACTGCTGCTGACGCATGATGAAAGCATGTTCCTCTACCAACATCACGTCGGCCGCCTGTCTTGTATAGACAAAATCCAGGCGTGCCATACAGAGCCAAACAAGAAGGATAGAAAACGCCCACTCACGTCGAAACCCGGAGTGTTGGGGGGGAAATATCAGAGGGTCTCCGCCGAAAGCAAATGTGTCGTCAAATGTATCGAGTACAACAGGCAGATCCACGAACAGCTCCTAGCTTGGGGCCCCTATACCCTGATCTGCTGTTTCTTCAGCCTTGTCCACCACCTGCAGGCGTTCCGTGCTTCTCGCGACCTTCTGAAACGGTTTGCGTGAAATCATCTACGACCCTGCTGTCTCTTCCATGGGCATCTTCGGTCCCTCGGCCGGTGCCTTCTCAGCCTCCACGGGTGTTGTAGCGGGAGCGGGAGCGTCTTTCGTGGCAGGATCTTGAGCGCTGTCAGTAGGGGCAGGTTGGACTGTGTTTCCGGCATCCTTGCCCGTGACTGGATCCTGTCTCGCCCATTTAGGTGGTTTCGCATATTTGGGGTCTTGCCATGGACCGTCATCACTGAATTGACAACCACCATCGCATTCACATTCGCCGCCAAACTCCTTGGGGAGATTTTCTGCGGGGACCTGTTGCAACAGATCCTTTTGGTAGTTCGAGCCTAGGACGTGGATCTTGGCAACTGTAATCGGGTCAAGGAACGATTTGACGAAGCTGAAGACGCTGGCAAACCCCCATGGAGCATTGATGATGTACAGCTTGCCCAGTCGTTCAGGGTAGTAGTCTTGGGAGATAGCGCTGACAGACTTGAGGTAGCCGTACACGGATGGGATTCGCCCAACACCGACACCTTTCATATCCATAATTGTGCAGCAAGTCTCGAGCAGTTTGCCAGCCTTACGCGAGCAAGCAGGTAATCGTGGATCGGCGACCTTCTCGTACTCCACCACTAGGTTCTGGACCATGCGTTCTGCGGTAGAGATTTTGTACATGGCATTCAGATCAATTTTGCCATATTGTTCAATGTAGACAGGGCGCCCATCCTGCCGATTTCTGTCAGTGACTCTGGACAATGCCGGCAAATGCATTTTGGCCATACCTTGTCGGTCTTGTGATAGTACTGTGGGTAGTATTGGAACATCTGAGCTCGTTCTTTGTAGTCAAAAGTACGAACAAGTTCATCCGTCCCAAACTCCTTTCGCCATTCCTCGTTCTTGACGAACCTATGACTTGCGTCAATACCTGGTTTGTATCATCTTGTCGCGTGGAATCATACATTGCCTTGCTGTGCTCGACATTGAACTTGCGGGCTCTAAGAAAGCGCAGCAGGGTCAGAGTGTCAAGCCTTTCCGTGTAGCCTTCTCTTTCCAGCATCATCCTCAGCTGGCGTACTTGAGCATCCTGTTCCTTGGTGGTATGGCCAGGATGCCCCGACTGGTTCTCGGGGGCAGTTGTGGGGAAGTCATAGTCGTCATATTTCGGATCCAAATCGATTTGCAGGTTCGCCTGTTGGGTTTCGGTCGACATGACGAAAAAGGAGGGTGAGCGACCGCTGGGGGGAAAGTAGAGGTGTTCTTTACAACGAGCGACACTGACCGAACCAGGAAGAGGCTGAGCTGGAGAGGCAGAGGGTAGACAGAGTCAGTGTCTCTAGTCTAGGTTATTGGATGCAAGCAGCGTGGTTGAGAATAGGGATGAGCAGCAGCAAGCCAGCAACAAGGACGACAATCAAAAAGATATATTATGAATGGATCCAAAAGTGCATCTTAATCAGGCACGGGCGCAGTTGAAAGGTCGGCGACGATTGGGGGCCGCCCTCGCTCTCCATAGCTATGACGCACGACCCCTTGACCCCTACTATTCACACAGGACCATACCTCGTAGGGGACGCCCGTGACGCCCAGAGGCCTCCCTGGCACCTGCTCGCCTGCGTAGGCTTGGCGCAGTCAAGAACTGACCATTGCCATCCCACCGTGCAATCCCTTCGCTGAGATCCGGAAATCTGCTCCAGAAATTTAAAACTACCGCCTTCGACTAGGCACATGTGACTCACGCCTTGTCCCAGATTCTCTCGAGTTCGTGCGAGGCTGATCTTCGAGGAAGTGGTCCCCTTTCAGTTTGGATAAAAAGAAATCACCGCAATAATTTCCTCGTGAAAACCATCGCTGCTCGGAATATGCAACCGCAGGGCATATCACTCTCCAAGAAACTAAGCGCTGTGTGGCAGGGACACTCATAACGAAGACTAAGGCGACTTGAAGTCGCGCGACCAAATCGACTATGCCGCCCAAACATCCAAAATCTGCTGGCGGGAGAGGCAGATCCGGAGATGACAACAAGGAAGAACCCCTGCAAGCAGTCGTCGTTGCGGACACTTTCGAAGACAGGTTCGCCCCGTTCACTCTCGAGAAGCCGAGATGTCTATTAACTTTAGCCAACACCCCCCTGATTGAATATACTCTCGACTATCTCGCAAGTTGTGGAGTCCAAGTCGTCTACGTCTATGCCGGGGCACATGCCGACCAAGTCGAAACCTACATCGAGGGGTCTCGGTGGAAGTCTCCCAACTCTCCCTTTGAGAGCCTGACCCTTCTGAGGTGCATCGCGAGCTCAGTGGGCGACATCATGAGAGACCTCGACCAAAAGCACTTGATGGCGGGAGACTTCATTGTGGTCAGTGGTGACATAATCGCAAACTTTCCGATCGAGAAGGCTTTGCGACAGCACAAGACTCGAAGAGAAAAGGACAAAAATGCCATCATGACCATGGTTCTTAGGGAGGCCGAACCCGGAATCCATGACCATAGTGGCGGAGTAGTGCCGACCTTTGTCATCGACCCAACCAAGGAGAGATGTCTCCACTACGAGGAAGCATTTCCGGGTACTCAGTTCACCTCCCACATTGACCCCGAACTGTTGAAAACTCCGGAACTGGAGGTCCGACAGGATCTCGTTGATTGCAGAATTGACATATGTACGCCGGATGTTCTCAGCCTGTGGTCGGACAACTTTGACAACCAGTCGCCTCGAAAGGACTTTCTCTTCGGCGTCCTAAAGGACTGGGAACTGAATGGAAAGACGATCCACGTGTATATCGTCAAAGACCATTACGCCGCCCGAGCCGCAGATTTCTGGTCCTACAACGTTATATCTCAAGATTTGAAGCAAGGCCTAATCGCATCAATTGCGGTGGAAAATAACGTCTTCGGCGACACACACTACGACCATTCTCAGAACGGAGTCATTATCGATCAAAAAGTGATCGCAGTTAAGCCCACCAAACTCGAAGCCGGGACAATCGTCGGACCTGAAACCACCATTGGCGCAGGGTGTGAAATCAGAAGCAGTGTGCTTGGCCAACGGTGTCATATTGGCAGAAATACAAAATTGGATGCTGCATACATCTGGGATGACGTGTCTATTGGCAACAATGTCAAGATTTCGCGGGCTATCATCGGAAACGAAGCCTTCATAGGAGACGATTGCATCATCGAAGAAGGCGTTCTGATTTCTTTTGGCGTTAAGATCGCTGCTGGCACTACGGTTCGAGCTGGCGCAAGAATTTGCAAACCACAGCAGGGAGTAGATGGAGAATTGAAGAATGACGCTTTGATCGTTGGGGATACAGGAGAAGGCCATGCTTATGTGGAGGATGAGGAGGACTATCTGAGTTCTAAGCTGTCGAGACTGATATACGACAAGCCAGACTTTGCAGATTCGGTGTCAACTCTGGAGTCGGACATGTCTGAAGACGAGGTCTCCTCCCTAGGTGGATCGCGAAGTCAAAGTTTTGGCGATGAGTCCTTCGACCGGTTTCAACACGACACAGTAGCCATCCTCGTCCAACGGATGCAGGAAGGGAAGCACGTGGACGATATGCTCAGCGAGCTGATGGGTTTGAGATTCAGCGGGGGAGCGGATGAAACACAGGTTCGCAAAGCCGTTGCAGTGGCGTTGATGAAGCACATCCACGGCGAAATTGAGGCTGGACTGTCCGCTGCAGACGCAACCAGACGAATCCTTACCGCATACAACCCACTCATTCGCCGGACAGGTGCAGAACAGGCGACCGAAGAGCAAGTTTCGTTTCTGCTCGATGCTCAAAAAGAACTATCGAAGCGGAAAGACGGTGGCAAGACACTCCTGTTCGTCGTCAAGGATCTCTATGATCTTGAGGTGTTTGGCGAGGAAGCCTTCACTGACTGGTGGGCTGATGAAAGATCCAAAAATGAGCCAGAAATGGCGGCGGTGAGACAGCCAAGCTCACAGTTCATCGACTGGCTAGAGAACGCAGAGAGTGAAAGTGAAAGCGAGGAAGAAGATGAGTAAAGGCAGAAACAAACGACCGGCACGGGTCATCATGGCAGGACCTTCTCCCTGGAGAGGGTGTCAGCCTTGCACGTGTTCGTTGTTCTCTGCTTGTGGGAGCAACATGCCTATGAATCCATCAATCAGCCTCGAGAAGTTGACAAACACCCGTGTCAAAAGAGGCCGTGTCTTCTTATGTAGGGAGAATATTGAGGATTTCCAAAGTGTATATGGGCACAATAGCAGCAAAAGGGGAAGGACGAGAGAATGCCGAACTGCCCGGAGACGGAGACGAAGATAGACGAGGCTTCACGTCACGTGTTAGACGGGGATATGACAGATCTGATCAGTACTCGGTAATGGTGACCGCCACCCTGGTGACCTGCCCTGCCATGCCTGCTCACTTGCACTCGCCCGCCGCTCGCCCCGTTCCATCGCCCATTAACTAATGAGTTCGTCTGTGGTGCCACCGCAATTGCCTGCCTTTGCCTGCCTCACGGACTCCTTGTAACTACGATCATTTTCCTTTTCCTCGTCTGGCCTCGACCCGAGATTTTTCTCCCTGCGTTTGTTCAATTTGTTCCATCTTGTCTTGATATGTGTAGATGATTGTCTCCCACTCCCTGAAGCGCCGTCCAAGTCGACCTAACTGCCCAACCCCCGTCGGAACATTGACTCGTCTCTCAAACGCTGGTCACCTGCTCCTCCGGTCATCCCCTCACTGAACTAGCAGCCTGTTGTCTCGTCTGGAGACACAGCTGCCCTTATCAAAGCCACCACGACACCTCAATCAAAGAAGAGAAAGGCTGCGGAGTGCGTCACTGACGCGTCAGGCAACGGTCCAGTAAAATCACGCAAGACGTCCGCTCTTCCTGCGCAGCGGCCGTCGACTCCCATCACCGAGCACGGCTCGCCGTCGTTGAAGGCCATGGATTCAGAAGACGAGTTCATGTCAGACCCACCTAGTGGAGATGAAATTGATTTCGATGAAGGTACACAGGACAGCGATATTGCCAGTCTCGCAGACGGTCAGTATATCCCACTTTGTTGTCCAGTGGCCTCGGGACACTGACAAATGACTACAGACTTTGACCAAGACCAGGATGGTGGCTTTGGCAACGAGAAAGACATTCTTACAAGTCCTCGAAAACCCTACGAAGTCGACTACAAGGTTCTGAGTCCCGATGATATCAATTCTCAGCAGGAACAGCAGTTCAAAGAAGTCTCCTCCATCATCGAGCTACCTGTCGAACAAACCGCTATCCTCCTCCGATTCATGAGATGGAACAAGGAGAAATTGATTGAATCATACATGGACAACCAAGATAAAGTTCTCGAGGCTGCCGGCTTGGGACCCACATTTGCTGAGGCTCCGAAGACGAAGAAGGTCGAGGGTTTCACTTGCGAGATCTGCTTCGAGGACTCTCCAGACCTAGAGACGTATGCCATGAAATGTGACCACAGATTTTGTACCAACTGTTATACCCATTATCTCACACAAAAAGTGAAGGAGGAAGGGGAAGCCGCTAGAATCGAGTGTCCCTTTGACGGCTGCCATCGAATTGTGGACTCCAAATCCTTGAGGCTGTTAGTCGACCAGAGTGTCATGGATCGCTATCACGTCCTGCTCACTAGAACTTATGTGGACGACAAGGACAATCTCAAGTGGTGCCCGGCTCCTGAATGCGAGTATGCCGTGGATTGCCCTGTCAGGAAACGAGATCTCAGCCGAATTGTCCCCACGGTCCGCTGTAACCACGACCACACATTCTGCTTTGGGTGCACGCTAGCCGATCACCGTCCGGCGCCCTGCTCTCTCGTCAAGAAATGGCTGAAGAAGTGCGAGGATGATTCAGAAACCTCGAACTGGATTTCCGCCAACACGAAAGAGTGCCCCAAGTGCAACTCAACCATCGAGAAGAATGGAGGTTGCAATCATATGACCTGCCGAAAATGCAAACACGAGTTTTGCTGGATGTGTATGGGCCCTTGGTCGGAGCATGGAACTAGTTGGTACAATTGCAACCGATTCGAGGAAAAATCAGGAGCAGATGCTCGTGATGCCCAGGCGCGTTCTCGACACTCGTTAGAGCGATATCTACACTACTACAACCGTTACGCCAACCACGAACAGTCTGCTAAGCTTGACAAGGATCTGTGGCTCAAGACCGAAAAGAAGATGACGAGCCTTCAATCCCAATCTAACATGTCGTGGATCGAAGTGCAATTTCTCGACACGGCCTCTAAAGCCCTGCAAAATTGCCGACAGACCTTGAAGTGGACTTATGCTTTTGCCTTCTATCTTGCTCGCAATAACATGACTGAGATCTTCGAGGACAACCAGAAGGATTTGGAAATGGCGGTTGAAAACCTGAGTCAGATGTTCGAGAAGCCCGTGCAGGAGCTCGGGAGCCTGAAAGTTGAGATTCTCGACAAGACAACATACTGTAACCGGAGACGAGAAATCCTTTTGGGCGACACGGCCGAAAACTTGAAGAAAGGTTTGTCGACCCCAAGCATTTTCTGCAACCTCTCATTAATCTATCTTGACAGACCAATGGAAGTTCAATGTGGAAATATGACATATCACGAATACCCAGGTAGATAACGGTGACGCACACGATCGACCCATTGGCGGGGTTGATAGTTATGCCAGCGAGGCGTTCCCTGATGGATGGGGCAACTTGGATGCATTGTCACGAAGGAACGGCGCTCAGATCAAGAGCTTTTGGCTTGGATTGAGAAGTGTTGGTAGAGGGCGCTGGGGGCATAATGCATGCATAGTGGGCGTCTTTCGTTCTTGTTCATGCCGAGTACGAGTTCATGGTTGAGAACAAAGGATGTAGCAGCTGAATGGTCGTCTGGACAGTGAGCCTCTCTGTATTGCAATATAATGCATCCCTCCTTAGGAAACACCATGGCGTTCGATGCACAATACAGTTTTTTTCTTTTTTAAACTCTCTCATTTTATGGCCGCTGTGCATTAAGGGACGATGCAGTCTGAGCGGTGCAAGGGCGGCGTATTCTCGTGGATTCAGCCAGTGGCCAGGATTACCGCGGATCAAGAACATTACCGAGCATCGTTCCATTCCCCCCTCACAGATTAGATGTGTCGGTGATTATGGCCGAGCCTAGTGGGTTGAGACCGACGCGGGAGCGAGAGAGGCGAGGCCAAAAAAGGAGTTTGACAGCGAGCCTGGAGGAGCGAGGTCGGGAAGCCCAGAAGGGGAGTCGCCGTCTGCAGCTTCGCGATAATACGTACCGCGGAGGCGAGAAGCAAAGAGCAAAGTGCAGGCCTGGCAGGCTGGTGGGCTCAGAAACTCAGAAGTAGGCATCCCCCCTCCCCAAGAGAGTCGCCGGGGCCGTCATTGATGGGAACCTTGAAAGCCGCAGTGCCCGTCGACCAACCAGCCACTTTAGCTCCCCCCCAGCAAGCCCAAGCTTAAGAGACCCTGGCTCAAACTTCTAAGCAGAGCCGTGGAGGTCGACCCAAAATCTTTGGAGCGATCTGAGTGCCTCGCCCGGGCCATTATTTCGCCCTGGCTCTGACTTGATACTTGGTCCGGATCGCTTTTTTTGCCTGCGCATTTACTCCGGCATTATACATTCTCACGGACCTCTCCTGGTTCTGGAGCACTTGTCGCTCGCCTTCCTTGCTCTTTTGAGCAACCTTTCTAGTCTCGGTGGAACGATTGCAGCAGACAGCAGGAACAACAGTCCCATCCGCAATCGTGGCGGCGTCAGCCAAATTCCCAGCGGCATTGCCCGCGGAGAATATGTCAGTGTCGAGCAGCCCGGATGCGGTACCTGGTGAAGAATTCGAGTGAGTGGTGCTCTCCGTTCCCGAAAGGATAGAATGGGCATTGACACTCGCACAGCTATGAAGCCCTGCCACCGAACTATGGTCTCGGACACAATATGTTGGCCGGCGCGTTCGCAGGCATTGCGGTACGCGGACAGAAATCAAGAGAAAGACACGAATCACTGACGACAGGCCCAGGAACATACGGTGATGTATCCCGTGGACTTGATGAAGGTACAAATTCGTTCCTTTCCCGGTGCTGGCGGCGAACACCTGGCTAACTGGGTCTTGACATCAGACACGGATGCAAATCATAAATCCTTCGGCCGGTGGCCTGTATACGGGGCTTTCACACGCAGTATCTACGATATATCGGATAGAAGGTCTGCGGACGTTATGGAGAGGAGTGACCAGCGTCATTGTTGGAGCAGGTGTGTTGCTAAAACTGGAGGAAATGGACACTGGGGGACCGCCTCCTAACTCTAATAATTGCTGCTAGGTCCTGCTCACGCCGTATATTTTGGTACCTATGAAGTGGTGAAAGAGTTCGCAGGTGGGAACAAAGCAGATGGCAAACATCATCCTCTCGCTGCTGGTGAGTGGGCTCTGGAGTTGCGGGCTTCAATGGGGTTTTTGGGCGGGTGCTAACTGAGATTTACAGCTGCAAGCGGAGCATGCGCCACCATTGCGAGTGACGCTTTGATGAATCCTTTTGATGGTACGAATCTTACTTTACAACTTCGAAGACAGAGAAAAAAAAAACATCCCGGACACTATACTGACCAGCTGCCGCAGTCATTAAACAACGGATGCAGGTGCATGGCTCAACCTACCGGTCAATATCGCACTGCGCCCGTTCAGTATGGCGAGCTGAAGGGATTTCTGCATTCTACGTATCCTACCCTACGACACTATGCATGACGGTTCCCTTTACAGCTACGCAATTCATGGCCTATGAATCTCTCTCGAAAATCATGAATCCTCGGAAAGAGTATGACCCGATTACACATTGCGTGGCGGGTGGCTTGGCCGGCGCATTTGCGGCCGGCATCACCACCCCGCTAGATGTGATCAAGACCTTGCTCCAGACGAGGGGACTGAGTCAACAAGCCGAGATACGCAATGTACGAGGATTATTCCATGCTGCGGCCATCATCAAGAAAGAGTTCGGTTGGAGGGGTTTTATGAGAGGTTGGCGGCCCAGAATCATCACCACCAT